TAACTTCCTCCTCCTCATCATCAGACTCTTCTCCTTTTGCGGGGCTCGATTTCAAAGATGATGATGAAGAAGGTAATGAAGAATGGCTGGCTACCGCCTCCTCCTCATCGTCCAACTCATCTCCTCCTGCAGGTCTAGATTTCAAAGGTGCTGACAACGCTGGCAGGGATGAACCGCTGACTTCGCCTTCGTTGTCGCCCTTCCCTTCCGCTGGCTTTGATCGCAAAGGTGATGAGAGTGGACTCCCTGAAGAATGACTAGCTTCCCCCTCCTCATCATTGGACTCCTCTCCTTTCGAAGGGCTTGATGTCAAAGATGATGACGAAGGAGGTAATGAAGAATGGCTGGGTAACGCTTCGGACTCATCTCCACCTGCGGGTCTAGACTCCAAAGGTGATGAGGACTCTGGCAAGGATGGACGACTGACTTCACCTTCATCGTCGTTCTTCCCTTCCGCTGGCGTCGATCTCAAAGGTGATGAAGGATGTGTAACTTCCTCCTCCTCCTCGTCAGACTCTTCTCCTTTTGTGGGGCTCGATGTCAAAGATGCTGATGAAGAAGGTAATGAAGAATGGCTGGCTACCGCCTCCTCCTCATCGTCCAACTCATCTCCTCCCGCAGGTCTAGATTTCAAAGGTGATGACGACGCCGGCAGGGATGAACCGCTGACTTCGCCTTCGTTGTCGCTTTTCCCTTCCGCTGGCTTTGATCGCAAAGGTGATGAGAGTGGACTCCCTGAAGAATGACTAGCTTCCCCCTCCTCATCATTGGACTCTTCTTCTTTCGAAGGGCTCGATGTCAAAGATGATGACGAAGGAGGTAATGAAGAATGGTTGGGTAACGCTTCCTCCTCGTTGTCGGACTCATCTCCACCTGCAGGTCTAGACTCCAAAGGTGATGACGACTCTGGCAAGGATGAACGAATGACTTCACCTTCGTCGTCGCTCTCCCCTTGCGCTGGCTTCGATGACAATGGTGATGAAGGTGGACTCCCTGAAGAATGACTACTTTGCTCCCTCTCACCACCGGACTCTTCTACTTTTGCAGGGATCGATTTCAAAGATGATGAAGAAGGTGGTAATGAAGACTGGCTGGCTTCCGCATCCTCCTTGTCATCAGACTTGTGTCCTTCTGCAGGTTCAGATCTCAAAGGTGAAGAAGATGAAGATATGGAGGAAGGACTGACTTTGCCTTCCTGGTCGTCCTCTCCTTTTGCTGCCTTCGATCCCAACAATGAAGATGAAGGGGCTGATTGAGAATGACTAGGTTCCACGTCCCCCTGATCAGACTCTTCTCCTTTCGCAGGGCTCGATTTCAAAGATGATGACGAAGCGGGAAATGAAGACTGGCTGGCTACAGCTTCCTCCTCGTCGCCGGGGTCATCTCCTCCCACAGGTCTAGATCTCAAAGGTCGTGATGATGATGGAGGCGTTGAGGAACGACTGATTTCGCCGTCATTGTCACTCTCACCTACCAATGGCTTCGATCTCAAAGGTGATGAAGGCAGACTCCCTGAAGAATTACTAGCTTCCTCCTCCTTCTGGTCAGGCTCATATCCTTTTGCGGGACCTGATTTCAAAAATGATGACGAAGGAGGAGTGGGAGGTAATGAAGAATGGCTGGCTAACGCTTCCTCCTCGTCATCCGACTCGTGTCCTTCCACAGGTTCAGATCTCAAAGGTGAAGATGATGGAGATATGGAGGAAGGACTGTCTTTGCCTTCCTGGTCATCCTCTCCTTTCGCTGGCTCTGATCTCAACAATGGTGACAATGAAGGAGCTGATGAAGAATGTCTTGCAGGGCCATTTGAATTTGATCCAGGAGTTGAGGCGGAGCTTAGCCCAGCTTCCTCCTCCGTGGTTTCTGAGCTCGTCCCCGCGGTTTCTGAGCTAGTCTCCGCGGTTTCTGCGCTTGTCACCGCGGTTTCTGCGCTTGTCACTGCGGTTTCTGAGCTCGTCTCTGCGTTTTCTGAGCTTGATGATGGGGAGGGCAACGAGTCAGAGGATGGCTTCTTCTGTTGGCAGGGGCAATCAGCACCATCCTGAGTGTTGTTCTTTTTGGAACACAGAGTGCAAGCACACTGCTTGCTCTTGTTCGAGGAGGAGGAGCTTGGCGGAGGCTCCGAAGACTCCATAATCGAACCTGGCTCCGAAGCAGGAAGGTGATCCTTCTCCTCCGATGGTGTAGAAGGGGGTGAAGAGGAGGAGGGAAGTTCGTCGTCGAGGTGAGAAGAAGAACCACGCCTCTTTCTTTTCAAACACAGAGTGCAAGAATTTGGCTCGGAGGAGGACATCGGCGGAGGCTCAGAAGAGTCCATCGCTTCCAGACCTGGCTCCGAAGCTGACGAGAGGGCGCTGCTGCTTGAAGCTGGCGAGGGGGAGCTGCTGCTGCTTTCTTTAGCCTTCATTGGAGATGCAGGGCTAAAAGGAGCACGATTACCCTCCTTGGGTGCAGAGGCGGGAGAAGATGATACCAGCAGTGTACCCTGCTCTTTCTCTTTGTCGTCTCCGTTGTCCAACAGTGATCCGTTGCTTCCTCTTTTTTCCCCAGGTGGAGGAGGCAAAGACATGAGGACTCCCCAAGCCGAGGACCCTTCACTGCCAGGAGATATAGGGGGGAGAGAAGCTGCCTCCGATCCTTGCTCTAGATCCAAAGGAGGAGAAGACGAGACATGTGTGCTCTTCCTTTTCCGTGAAGGCGACGAAGAAGAAGCACTCACCACAGCAGGAGAGGATTCTTTACCATCAGATCGAGCTCCATCGTCAGACTTATGAGATGAAGGAGTAGATGAACTGCTCTGCTGTGACCGTTCAGGTCGCCAGGATTGTGTTGATGACATGGCAGCTGAGGCAGATGCGCTTGCTGGCGTAGATGACATGTCGTCCGTGGGCGAGCTTGACGACTCTTCCGCCTTGTTTTTCTTTCCCTCCAATGGACCAGGCAAGGACTCTGACGCTGCTGCCGATCCACTTTGTTTCCCATCCCCATGACCAGTGTCTTCTTCCGTAGGCGAAGATGACAACCCCTCCGCCTTCTTCTTCTTCTCGGAAGGACCAGGCACAGACTCCGATGCTGGTTCCTCTGAAGCTGGCGCCGATTCACTTGTTTTTCCATCTGCATCAACAGGGTCTTCTTCTGCAGGTGAACTTGACAACCGTTCCGCATTCTTCTTCTCCTTCTCAGACATACCAGGCAACGAATCCGATGCTGGTCCCTCCAATGGTTCCGCCTTCTTCTTTTCAGACGGAACAGGAAATGACTCCGATGCTGGGCCCTCCGACAGGTCCACCTTCTTCTTGTTGGATGGCCCAGGCAAGGAGTCCGATGCTGGTCCCTCTGAAGTTGGCGCCAACCCACTCGTTTTTCCATCTTCATCAACAGGGTCTTCTTCTGCGGGTGAACTTGACAACGGTTCCACCTTCTTCCCCTTCACGGACACACCAGGCAATGACTCCAACGCCGGTCCCTCCGACGGTTCTGCCGTCTTCGTGTTCTCAGATGGACCAGGGAACTCCGATACAGGCCCCTCAAACGGATTCGCCTTATTCTGCTTCTTGGAGGGCCCGGGCAAGGACTCAGATGCTGGTCCCTCTGAAGCTGGCGCCGACCCACTCGTTTTTCCATCTGCATAACCAGGATCTTCTTCTGCAGGTGAACTTGACGATGGTTCTGCCTTCTTCTTCTCCTTCTCGGACGCGCCAGGCAAGGACTCTGATGCTGGTCCCTCCGACGGCTCCGCCGCCTTCTTCTTCTCAGACGGACCAGGCAATGACTCTGATACAGGGCCCTCGAACGGACCTGCCTTCTTCTTCTTGCCGGGCCCAGGCAAGGACTCCGACGCTGGTCCCTCCGAAGCTGGAGCCGACCCACTTGCTTTGCCATCTGCATAACCAGGGTCTTCTTCTGCAGGTGAAATTGACGACGATTCCACTTTCTTCTCCTTCTCAGATGCACCAGGCAAGGACTCTGATGCTGGTCCCTCCGACGGTTCCACCGTCTTCTTCTTCTCAGACGGACCAGGCAACGACTCCGATGCTTGACCCTCCGACGCGTCCGCCTCCTTCTTTGTCTTGGAAGGCCCAGGCAAGGACTGCGATGCTGGTCTCTCCGAAGCTGGCACCGACCCACTTATTTTGCCATCTGTACCACCAGTGTCTCCTTCAGCAGGCGAGCTTGACAATGGTTCCGCCTCTTTCTTCTCCTTCTCCGACGCACCAGACAAGGACTCTGATGCCGGTCCCTCGGACGGTTCCGTCTTCTTCTCCTTCTCAGACGCAGCAGGCAAGGACTCCGACGCTGGTCCGTCCGACGGTTCCGTCTTCTTCTTCTCCTTTTCGGACGGCCCAGGCGAGGACTCCGATGTCTCTCCCTCGGATAGTTCCGCCTTCTTCTTCTTGTTGGACAGACCAGGCAAGGACTCCAATGCTGGTCCATCGGACGGTTCGGCCTTCTTCTTCTTGGACGGACCAGGCAAGGACTGCGACGCCGGTCCCTCGGATGGTTCCGCCTTCTTCTTCTCCTTGGATGAACCAGACAAGGACTCCGATGCCGGTCCCTCAGACGGCAAGGACTCGGATGCCGGTCCATCGGACGGTTCGGCCTTCTTCTTCTTGGACGGACCAGGCAAGGACTTCGACGCCGGTCCCTCGGATGGTTCCGCCTTCTTCTTCTCCTTGGATGGACCAGGCAAGGACTCCGATGCCGGTCCCTCAGACGGCAAGGACTCCGATGCAGGTCCCTCAGACGGGACCGCCTTCTTCTTCTTCTCGGACGGACCAGGCAAGGACTCTGACGCCGGTCCTTCGGACGGTTCCACCTTCTGCTTCTTTGACGGACCAGGCAAGGACTCCGACGCGGGTCCCTCGGACGGTTCTGCCTTCTTCTTCTTGGACTGACCAGGCAAGGACTCTGATGCCGGTCCCTCTGATGCTGCCGCCGGCCCACTTCGTTTCCCATCCCCATGACCAACGTCTTCTTCCGTAGCCACAGTTGACGACGGTTCTGCCTTTTTCTTCTCCGACGGAGCAGATGAAGAGTCCGACGCTGACCCCAACCCACTTCGTTGCCCATCTCCATCACCACCATTTTCTTCGCTAGGCGGCGTTGATGATGGTTTTGCCTTTGATGATGATTCTGCCTTTTCCTTCTTCTTCTCCAACGGACCAGTTGAAGATTCCGATGCTGCTGCTGATCCACGTCCTTTCCCATCTCCATCGCCAGCGTCTGCTTGCGTAGGCGAGCTTGACGACAGTTCCGGCTCTTTCTTCTTCTTCGTCTCACACGGACCACGTGAGGACTCCGAAGCTACCGCAGACCCACTTCCTTTCCCATCGCCACCACCGTCGTCTTCTGGACCAGACGAAGTCGACGAAGATTCTGCCTTCTTCCTCGTTGACGAATCAGGGGACCTGGACTGCGATGATGCCGCCAACCCACTTCGTTTCCCATCCCCATGACCCGCCTCTTCTTCCGCAGGCGAAGTCGACGATGGTTCCACCTTCTTCTTGAAGTTCTTCTTCTCTGACGGACCACTTGAAGACTCCAACGCTGCCGCCGATCCACGTCCTTTCCCATCTCCATCACCAGCATCTGCTTGCATAAGCGAGCTTGACGACGATTCCGGCGTCTTCGTCTTCGTCTTCTTCTCCGACGGAACAGACAAGGAGGCGGATCGCGATTGCACGTCCGCTTTGCCGCCCCCTGCCGAATCAGTCCGCAGCGACCGCCGTCGTGCCAGATCACCAGAATCCGATTTCCTGTCCGAAAGAATTCCCACAGCTTTCGCAGCGGTGGGTGTCAACCCGGCGGCACCGCTTGATCTCTCGCCGTGATCCATCTCTGCCGTCCGTCTCCATCTCTCCGATATCGAAGACATCCGATCGAGCAACTCCGCCAAGGCGGAGTACTGGGGAGTAGAATTAAGACTCGCCCTTGTATTCGTCCTGGCTGCAGATCCAGTGGCCCCCTCTCTCTCATGCTGCTCTTGCTCTTGCTGTTCTTCCCACCTTCTCGTCTTCTCCCGCATTGCCGTTTCCTGATTAGGAAACGTCGATTCGTTGGCTCCAAACGATGAAGATCCCAATTTGGAATGGGCAGCTTGACGAACAAGTAATGACCAGTTGGAGGAACGGGGGTCGTCATCATCACCCTGATGGGGCTCGGCGCGCTTCCTCCTCTCCTCCCCCATCGATGGTCTTCCATCGGGCCAAGCTAGCACTTTGGCGGACCGGGTGTACTTCTTCTCCCCCGCCGCCTTCGCTCCCCTATCTACGACCGCCTTCCCTTGTGGAGGTAGACCCACCTCCTTGTCAGGCACGGAAGTTGCCAGCTGGAAATGTACATTCTGTAAGCCAGCAGGCGTTTTCAATTTCAAATTGGCTGCCCCATTTTGGTCTTCCCCAGCGTCTCCTCGTGCGGTAAACAGCAGCAAAACTGTGGCCAACACGACTATACATCTCCTCACCGACTTGCTTGTCCACGAGCGACTCTTCTCTACAAAACGATATTCCGCTGTACAACACTTACGTCCCGCCATGGTTGGTCCAACTTGGTCGTGAAATCCTCCACCCACTCACTGACGTGCTTACCTGCACACCATATCAAGTACTGACAAACACACACACAAAAACCAAAGACAAAAAAAACTCCTGATCAGCCGGTGAAACTCCAACCAAACAGCCCGGCAATGTCAACCCTCTGTTTCATTCCGTTTTGCTGACCGATTGCTCCACACACACACACACACACACACACACACACACACACACACACACACACAGACTTACTGCCATTCTCGTCAGGGGTTTGGACCGGTGGTCTGCTAGGATTGCAGGGTCGGTCGGTGTGAGTAAAGTCGACCATTTTTCTCTCTTAGGCGTATCGCTGACTCTGGCCGACGTGGTGAGTCCTTATCATCAGTCAAATGCATTCTGGGCAGACTGTCGGAGTCACACACACACACACACACACACACACACACACACACACACACACACACACACACACATC